ACACACACACACACACACACACACACACACACACACACACACACACACAATGTGGTCCCAATATATCTGAATTAAAACTTACTAAGACCGGGACTGGTGGGGCACCAGTGGCTCATGTCTGTAATCCTAGCTACTTAGAAGGCTAAGACGTAAAGATTGATATTCAAGGCCAGCCCAGGCAGACAAATGTGAGAGACTCTTATCTCCAATTAACCAGCAAAAAGCCAGAAGTGTAGGTGTGACTCAAGTGACAGATTGCTAGCCTTGAGTGAAAAAGGCGAGCAAGAATGTAAGGCTCTGAGTTCAAACCCCACAACTGAGCCGGATGCCAGTGGCTCACACCTGTAATCCCAGCTACTCAGGAGGCTCAGATCTAAGGATCTCGGTTCAAAAGCCAGCCCGAGCAGGAAAGTCCTTGAGACTCTTATCTTCAATGAACCACTCAGAAAACCAGAAGTGGTGCTGTGGCTCAAATGGTAGAGTGCTAACCTTGAGCCTAAGAAGCTCAGGGACAGTGCCCAGGCTGGACTCGCAAAAAAAAAAAAAAAAAAGAAGAAGAAGAAAGTTAATCAGACACAGAAACCACCAGGGCATTAATTACGATGCAGTGAGACGCATTGAATCCCAGCTCTAGATCCCTCTAGAAGAAGCCGTGCTCTGCCAGCTTGGCCAGGAGGGGGCGCTATCTTGAAGCAGGGAAGGACTCAGAAGGTAACAGGACCAACAGGAGCAGTCCTCAAGGTGGGAAAGTAGCTGGTCCATCTGGGCATGGTGTCAAGGCAGAGTGTGCAAGCCCAAGCAAGATGCCTGAGAAGAGACGTTGGGAAGGTAAAGAGGGTGACGGTACATGGTTCCTGAGGCCTTGAATGCCAGGCCAGGAGGTTTGGAATTTATCTTCCAGATCAGCAGCCAGTAGAGGTGCTGTTGGGTGGAACACGAACATTTTGTGTTTGCACAGATATTTATCTTAACATGTACTAATGTTAGATGTAAAGTTTCCATTGACAGGCTACCTGGGTTCAAATCTGCTTTCTAGGCCAAGCATGGTAGTACATACCTATATACACCTGTAACTACTAAGACCAACCCCAAGCAAAAATGGAAGACCTTATCCAGAAAAAAACAACTAAAGCAACATTGATCAAGATGCATTGTATTCACAAATTGACATGTTGAATTGAAATCCCTTTGTTTACCTACTTAAAGATATCTAGAAAAATAATTTGTAGCCAGCTATTGGTGGCTCACGCCTGTAATCTTAGCTACTCAGGAGGCTGAGATCTGAGGATCACAGTTTGAAGTCAGCCAAAGCAGAAAAGTCTGTGAAACTTATCTCCAATAAACTACTTAGAAAAAGCTGGAAGTCGGGCTGGGAAGGTGGCTCAGCAGTAGAGTGCTTGCCTTGCATGCATGAGGCCCTGGGTTCGATTCCTCAGCACCACATAAGCAGAAAAAGCTAGAAGTGGCGCTGTGGCTCAAGTGGTAGAGCGCTTGCCTTAAGCTGAAGAACTGAGGACAGCGCTGCCCAGGCCCAGAGTTCAGGCCCCACGACTGACCCCCCCCAAAAAAAAGAAAAAGAAAAAGCTGGAAGTGGTGTTGTGGCTTAAGTGGTAGAACACTAATCTTAAGCACAAAGAGGCTCAGTATAGTGCCCAGACCCAGAGTTCAAGCTCTGGGACTGGCAAAAAATAAAAATAAATTGTATTTTCCCTCCAAAAATAAAGAAAAAAAAAGGCTTGGAGACAGTGCTCAAATAATAAAAACCTGCCTATCAACATAAGCCCCAGGACTGGCAAAAATAAAAATAAATAAATCTGCTTTTTTTATTTTTTTCTGGTTAGTGATGGGGCTTGAACTCAAAGCCTGGGCACTGTCCCTGTGTCTTTGCTCAAGGCTAACACTCTACCACTTTGAACCACAGCACAGTACTTCCAGTTTTCTGGTAGTGAATTGGAGATAATAAAAAACAATCTCATGGATTCTCTTGCCCAGGCTGACTTTGAACTGTGATCCTAGATCTCAGCCTCCTGAGTAGCTAGGATTACAGATGTGAGCCACTAGCACTTGGCTTTTAGCTTATAACTTTAAGAAAGTTATTTTTATAACTCTTTGGCCCTCAGAGGCTTCTCTGTAAAATGGAGATGATAATTATTTCTAATCCATACTTTGTTACAAAGATTACACTCATAAAACACTTAGCTAATAGGTAACCCCTGTAATCTTAGCTACTCAGAAGGCTGAGATCTCAGGATTTCAGATTGAAGCCAGCCCAAGCAGGAAAGTCCATGAGACTCCCATCTCCAATAAACTACCAATAAGCCTCGAGTAGAGCTGAGTCTCAAGAGGTAAAGTTCCAGCCCTGAGTGATAAAGCTAAGAGACAGTGCCCAGGCTCTAAGTTGAAGACCCAGTATTAGCACACACAAAAAGTAAGTCTAGCTGGGCGCTGGTGGCTCACGCTTGTAATCCTAGCTACTCAAGAGGCTGAGATCTGAGGATCAGGGTTCAAAACCAGCCCGGGCAAGAAAGTCTGTGAGACTCTTATTTCCAATAAACCACCCAGAAAACTGGAAGTGGCGCTGTGGCTCAAGTGGTAAAGTGCTGAAGAGCTGAGCGACAGCACCCAGAGTTCAAGCCCCACAACCGACCAAAAAGAAAAGAGAAAAAAAAGTAGGACTATTTAAAGAATAAATATTAAGGGTAAGAGGGCAAGAAGTCATATATAGATGACTACATTGCACAAGTATGTAGATAATTAGCAGTGTGATAAACAGCTCCAGAAGTTTGGGTCTAGGAGCAGTTGTTAAAGGGAAAAGGGCATGATGGGATGGGAATTTTAGGCAGTTTACTCTGGAAGCCAATTTCAAGAGTAGATCACACACAGAGGCTGTGAAGGTGGGACAATAATCCTGGAGAGCCCAAGGACAGCAGGGACCCACCCGCCTGCTATCTGCTTCAGAAAGTCTGGCCTTTCGCTAGAGGAGTGAGCAGGAAACAGGAAAAGAAGCTGGGGACCTGGGGTCAGGGGAGCTGGTGCTTCCCAAGTGGTGAGGCCATGAAGCAGAAGAAGGAGGAGGAAGGTGCATGCAGGGGAAGGAAGGAAACCAAAGAACTAGGCTGGGCCTAAGGTTGACTCTGCAGCCCCGACTAAAATGTGGCTGGTTCGGGGAACTGAGATGTTTCTTGCTCATCTTCAGGGTTGATCAGTCATCAGTGAAACATGAGAAATGACAGAGAGAGCAAGGGAATAGGTAGAGGGTGGGAGCTAAACTTAACTGTAACTGACAGCTTCTGACCTGATATACAGCGTCTGTATGCAAATCAGAGGAAAGAACCCCTAACTACTGCACAGACAGACCTAGGGTTAGATTAAGCAGTTCATAACTTATCCGATTCCATTCTTGTCCTTTACTCCCTCTTCTGGGCGAAAAGCAGGTCTGGAGGAGACCCCCCCTCTCACCTTTCAGGATGGCTTGCAGCGATGCCACCTCTTCTTGGCATTGCCGCTGTACTGCAGCCACTGCTTCGGCCTTCGTGCTCTCGCTCACCTCCGCCACAGCCTTCATAGTCTCCATTTCTGCCAGGGCACCTGCCAGCTCGGCCCTAAGCCGGCAGAGTTCACCTGACTCACCTTCAACCTCTGATCCCTCTTGCAGTGAGGGATCCAGCGCTGTGGAAGACAGGAATCAGGCTCTCTCCCCATCGTTTGCCTTATCCCCCCCCACAAACCCCAGTCATCAAATTGGCACATCAGCAAGTCTCACAACCTTCTACTACAGCACCTGGCCCCGCCCCACTCACCTGGCCCCGCCCCTTCCCAACACCTTTCGCGCCATACTCGGCCTTACACAGTCTTTAGCCCGCCCCCTCCCTCGGCTTACCCAATCCCCTTCCCTCGCTCGCGACCCCACCCTCCTGGTGTCCCCGCCCCTTCCCGCCTCACCCACTTTATCCCTTGGGCCTCAAGCCCCGCCCCTTGCTCTCGCGGCTCAGGCCCCGCCTCCTCCCCCTCCCGCCGGCTGCCCCGCCCCTTTCCCCCGGGTCCCCCTCTTTTCCCCCCTCCCGCCCCAGCGGCGGAGCTCGACGCCGCCTCTGGTCCGCCGCTCCCCGCGTACACGCCTCGACGTACCACCCCTCGGCCGTCTCAGTCGCCGGTCCTCGCCTGGAGCCGCGGGCGCAGCTGCCGCCATCACCTCAGCTCAAACGGCGGATTCCCGCACTCCCTGATGACGGCGCGGCCTGCTTCCGGGTCCTGTCGGCTGTTTCCGGATCCGCTCGGTTGTTTCCGGCTCGGCCGGGACCCGAAGCTGCGGTGGGGGGGGGGGGGGGAGTGAGAGGGCCTTGCCGAGCGTCGCCGGAAGTTCCCGAGTGGGTGCTGGGCCTTGGCGCCGCGTCCTCGGAGGCTCCGCTGCGACGACGCCTCCGCGGGGGCCGGGGGCGGGGAGCACGGAGCGCCACCGCGCCCTTCCCTCTCCGAGAGCCAACCCGCGATCGCGCGGCCGCCCTGGCCCCGAGCGCGGCTCACGTTACAGCCACCTGTGTGCGGCTCCTCCGCCCGCGCCGAGCCCGCCCTGGGGTCAAGGCCCGAGCAGCTTCACTGTCCTGGGTGCCTCTGGGGCCCCACGCTGTCAGAGCCACACTGATGCCGTCTCCTGCTAATCGCCCCAGTGGCTTTCCAATCCTGTTGGGCCCCGGGTCAGGCTCTCATTAGCGGTGCCCTTTCGCCTTGCACCGTGACTGGCAATTCAGACCCGCATTTACCCTCCCCCAAACCAGTTTTCTTTCTTAGAGGACGCTCTGGAACCTGGGCGTCCTTGATTCGGCCTGGCCTCCTGGAAGTCTAAACTACACCTGCAGTACACTGAATATTCCAGGATGCATTTCCTTCTGTCCCAGCGCCCCAACATTGTGGCCCCCCGAATGGCCACAATGATCTCATCCCCACTCCCAACTCCTTGCTTGACTAAATAAGATCGCTCAAAGCCACTGGAGCCATCATTATGAAACATAGTTATCCCTTCTAGTTAGCCAGGTTGAAATGAGAACAGGTCACACTGATGTCAGGTAGCAAATATTCTCTTGAAAAGATTTTCAAAGCCAGATACAATGCCTTGTGCCTGTAATCCTAGCTGTTTAAAGGGCTGAATTCTGAGGACCAAGGTTTAAAGCTAGCTAGGGCCAGAGAGTCCTTGAGACCCTTATCACTAATTAACCAACAAAAAAGGCGGAAGTAGAGGTGTGGCTCAAGTGGTGGAGCACCAGCCTTGAGCGAAAAGGCCAGAGTGAGCGCACAAGGCCCTGAATTCAAGCTCCAGTACCAGCACACATGCAAATTTTGGGGGACTGAAGATCCTGTTGTGAAGAGTGACCTTCTAGTGCACCAAGTACATGAAAAGACTAACAGATATGTGCATTTTGAGACTGAACAAGTGTTAGTGACACCAGGTCCAGGGGAGGGTTTGTGCAGTTTCCCTCTAGAAGTAGGGACTCTCCTTGTAGGGTCCTTGGATCACAGAGTAAGAATTTCTGGACAAGTCACAATAGTAAGAAAACTTGGCAGAGCTTTATTAAATAAGCAAGCCAGCCAAGCAGGAAGGTAGAGGCTCATTCTAACAGAGTGTGGGTGCTTAAAGGGAGACACAGAACTCTTGGACATATATATATATATATATATATATATATATATATATATAATATGATAAAGACATAGTCTGACTTTAAGTGTTTATCTTTGCTCTTAATCACTCTTGGAGTTAACACTTTTTTGGGGGGGGGTCATGGGTCTTGAACTCTGGGCTTGGGTGATGTCCCTGTACTCTTCAACTTAAGGCAAGAACGTTCTACATGGGGCTGGGTAGGTGGCTCAGTGGTAGAGCGCTTGCCTTGCATGCATGAGGCCCTGGGTTCGATTCCTCAGCACCACATAAGCAAAAAGAAAAAAGCTGGAAGTG